CAATTTGGAATGCGATTCGAGCGAATAGTTCCCAAAGAAAATATTCCCCGGGACTTGAGATATACAAGAAGCGGCAACGAAGTATAATAATTGTCAAAGTAGATAATCTGATTTTTAAAATCCGGAACATTGCGTGACAATCGAACAACTACATTTGCTGCCGCACCAAGATCTGGTGAGCCAGTTTGAACAACGTTGTCACCTGCTCCACAATATATCTCGTAATTATAGCAAAAGCCAGAAGAGTCACACAAATTGAAGAATTTCACTCCCCATTTGTGTGGTTTGTCTGGTAAGTATTGTCTAAGAAAGGTCTTCATCTTCGTTGCACACATTTGTTCATCCACAGATAAGCGTTGGCGCATCGGAACTAATTGAAACTTATCATTGAAATGATTCACGAGCGGCCGTATTTTGTATAAAGGATCGTGGTCGGCAGAATCCTTTGAGGGCAACTTACTGTTATCATTAAAATGCAAATTACTTCGTATTTTTTCAAAGCGATTTCTTGCCATTGTGTTTTGTATTGCTCCGAATGCGCACTCCCCCAATATGAACGAATATTTGGGTAGCGAAAAACTGACATCAAAAATAGAATGCCAATAAATTGTCGAATTTCTAAGTTTGTTGTGGAAAACGAAGTATTGACGTCCTTTTGGGCAGCATACAAATTTGTTTGCTGGGTGATATGTTCAATAATAGTATCATTCAAAAAAAATTGAAAACACTTGAATGGCGTATCCAAATTTTTAAGTTCTCCGAGGTCAGGCTCATTAAAGGATATTGCAGATTTATCCATGACAAGGTTCGTTTGGCGCCACAACATCTTTTTAAAAAGCGGTGCTTTTGGGTCGATAGTCCAAACAGATCCACATTCAGCTATTGAGCTTTCTTTAACATCAGCAGTATTATGCTCAGCAGGCGCTTTACGTTTGCGTTTTTGTGCTTGAGGTGAATTGGACGGAATCGAACTTGAGGGAGACAACAATTTTGCAAAAGGAGTAGGACTTCCGCTTGAAGTTACACAAATCTCACTAGCCAACATAGAATCCGACATATGTAGCACTTGTTCAATAGGCCCTTCATCTTCCTCAGAGTCAGGAAGCGCTGCCTCGGAAACATCATCAGTCAAATCGTCTTCCAATTCTTCTTCTCCATCCGTATCAATATCAAATTCAATAGAATTTAACAATTTTTCAATCTCCACGTCGGAAAGAGCTGATAGCTTATTCCCTTGTCGTCGTTCCATGTCTACAGAAGCAATTATATGTACTTAAATATGTTATAGGTTGTTTCACTTTTAATCTTACCTTATAAATTTTTTTCCCGAATTGTCCCAAGACCGCCTCTAGACGGGATACTTTATAAAAGCAATAAAAAGCTAACGAAAACTTTTTTTTAGTGTGGGTTTCGTATTTTGCGTCCTTAAGACTATAAGCAACACGGTATTAATTTTTTTTCCAGTAGCAAACTTTTTATAATATTTTTAAAAAATATTTATGTTTTGCACTTCGTACAAAATAATTTTTTCGTCCGACTTGCACGAATTTTCAGCTTCAAATGAATACAGCAGCTTGCGCAAGCTCTAGTGTGTATTCCAAACGCAACGAACCTAATTTTTGGACTTCCCCGAATTAGAAAAAACGCGAAACCGAGTAAAACGGAATGAAAAGAATAAAATATCGGTGTTTTTAACAATACCCGTCTAGAGGCGGTCTTGGGCACTAGAGGGTTAAGATGTTCCACAACAGCACCAGACAGCTGTGTATTCCAAGAAGCCGCATTAAGAGATATATTTCATATTAATTAGAGTTGCTAAGATACTTGCAAAAAGCTTGATAATCATGTTAATAAGTGTCGGAAAATCGATTTTGGTTTGCAATAATATTTTACCAATTTCTGCAGGATAAATTTCAGAAAAATGTAAAGGAAAGGTATTTGAAGCATGAAAAAATTGGTTTATATTTATATAAGCTTTTCTATATAAGTTCTTTTTATGTATACATCATCTTTAATAATAAGGATTGGTTTTTTAAAGTATTTTTTAGCTGAGTTCTTCCGACAAATAAATTTCTTATACTCGTATTTGGCATTGCGGAACTGGCTTACGTATACGTGATATTACGTATACATATTTCAATATTGATAATAATTCTAAATTTGTTCTTTTCAGATTTAAGTTAAAGGAGGAAATTCCTGTAAAACGTTTGTTAGATTGTAAATATATATTTCTTTATATAATATTACGTATACGTAATATTTTAATACTTCTTTAATACTTCTCTTAAAAATAACAGTAAGAAAATCCAGTACCAAAGTATGTAATAATTTAGATAAAAATAACTTAGTTTAAGTTTCGTTATTGTTTTGTTTAGTTTAGTTAAGAAAACATCATAAATTGTAATATAATAAACAAGGATTGAGAATAAAACTAAATATCCTCCTAATAAAATGTTCATCTCTACTCTTAGATTTTAGCTTAGTTAAAATAACAACCACTCTCATCTTTCATAAATCAAAATTCCTAGCTTCATGTTATTAGTATGCTTGGCACCAACCTCGCTGGTGCTAAAATAGGAACTGCAGCAAGACTCCAAGGGCAGGGGACTAAACAAGGGAATAAAACCAGAAGCAGAACCAGGAGCTAAAACCGAATCAGGAGCGTATCCAGGACTACGAGGCAGGCCGGGCTCTAGCCAGTGAACTCCAGCAGTTACTAAGAAGTCGCGTTCGCTTCATTATGTGGGCTCTCCTTCGTATTACCGCGTTTATGTCACTTTTCACTTTCCCACTCTCTCTCATCTCTGCGACTTTTTCGCTGGCATGCCATATAAATTGTTTTGGGATTTAGTCGCACGACTCTCTCCGCCTCTTCCAGTGCCCAGACCCTACCCCAGATCCCCGGCCAATCCCCAGACGCGGCTCACAGCTCCGGCTCATTATTGTCGTCGGTTCGTTTCTGTTCTTTGTTTAATGACATCATTTTGTATGAAAAATTGTAGTTGCATACGGAAGCCGGGGTAGGATAGGGTCGGGTAAGCCCTGCCAAAATTATAAAGTTGAGCCATGATTAATGGCGGTTCATGCGCCGCTCTGTCCTCCTTTCTCCCCCTCACCAACTTCCTATCACGCATATATCGTCTGCGTAATAATCCTTGTCATGAAATATTTTGACACAGACATGAAATTTCAGCTTCATAAAATTAAAAAAAAAGAAAGAAAGAAAGAACTAACAGAGGAAGCAGACAGATAAAAGGATCTTCATTTATTTACTGTTGTTTTTTTCTTCTGTGGCAAATCCGGAGTCACGTTTCGCAAAGGAAAAGCGAATGAAAAGGCGAGGGAAAATGTCAGCTAAGCAGCGGGGGAATTACAAATTAAATGTGTTGACAAGCAATGAAATGAGTATGAAGCTGAACATGTTAAATACATTTGGCATTGTTTTTGTTTGAATAAATAGCAAGAAAACCCAATGACTCGATAAGAAATCAAACAGAAATGTAAATCCTTTTGATGTTTCGGGTTTAGGTAATTAAAAAGCATTCAACGAATTCTCTTAGCTTTTACTTTTTCTTTAAGAAATCCTCAAACATAAATTTCTCTTTAAAATTGATTTAAGTTTGCCACAAAAGCTTGTACTTAATATATGATTCAGTTAATTAAGGTGGTGTTATGTCGTAAAACCTCAAACTTAATCAAGACCTTCCCCCTTGAATAATTATAGCTAACCCGTACCATAGCGTACCATTTTCTATTATACCATTTCCAGTATAATATATCCTAAATCTTGATTGCTTGTGTTAGCACGTAGTAAAACCCTTTCGTGGTTATATCCTCACACCCTGATATAGATATGAAAGCCAATGCATCAGCCACAAAATTATGATGAGGCCGATGATGAGGCGGGGCCCTAACCGCACACATCCTGTACGAGCTTATCCATCCCCAGATCCCTATACCTCAAATTTGAGCAACAATAAAAGTGAATAAAACCCATCCCACCTTGGAAATCCTTTTAGTTTAGGGAATCCCCGTAAAGGCACACGTCGGACAGGAAGGACTCATGGCCAATATTTGCTTATAGTCCGTGCAAACAGGGAGCCAGCACTGGCGCCGTGTGCCGTGTGCATTGTGTGCACATTAAATACCGCATAAATTAAATTAATTGCTAAAGTTTATTTTTTATTGCCCTAACAAGGCGAGCGGGGAGGCAGGCGTGTAATCACTTTTCATTGTGTACCAATCTTGGCACAGTCTCGGCGAAAACTTTTCAACACTTGGTCCGTGCAGGGGGGAGGGAGTTTTCCATCTTGCGGTGGCTCATTTAAAATTTAAATGGCTTCAAAGTGAGCATTTGCCTATAAATAGCAGCCTTTTGTGGCCATTTTCCCCCTCGCGGCAACCTTTTTCACTCTCCTCACTAATGAGTGGCAACCCTGGCGGGTGCCCGCAAGCATGTAACGTTAAAATACAAATGTCAAACTCCGAAACGACAGCAGCAGCTGCCAGTTGTCCCAGTGTCCTGTAAAAAGTGAGCTCGGTGTGTGTGTGTATTGCCCCGGTATTTCCATGAAAATCCTTGCCAAAGTGAAATTTCCCCAGTCTGCAGTCGAATTAATTGTTCCCCTGATGAAAAGTGAGTGACAGAGAAAGGTGGCAGGCAGGGGGAGTTGAGTTAACAAACATCTAACTGTCTTTTTGGCAACTTTACTCTCCCATAGGGTGCAATTAAAAATTATGTTTATATTTATTTTCTGCTCCCACTCTGCACACACAATTCTCCTGAAATGGCTCTCGAAAAAGAAGGAGGAATAAACAAACTATGCGAGGGAAACGGAAATGGAAATACAAAATGGTCGTCAATGTTGACAGCTGACAGGGCAGGGAGTTTTTTTTACAGACCTTGAGAGATGGACAGGATTGCATGTAACAAAATTATCACATACTTGGAAAGGTCTCAAGTTTCAAATTTAATATTAATTTCATCTACTTAAACTCACCTTTGAAAAACGTTTAATATTTTATATTATTTTGTAAACAAGTTGGCGTAATCCAAAGCCAGTCCATAGATCCTGAAACGATAGTAAAAATAATAATTAATAAATGTGATTTATATTTTTTTAGAATAGGTATAGGATGATAGATAAATATATGATTTATATGTTTTATGATTCAAATTATTAGTGTCGGATTTATTATTGTTAATTATTTAAAACATATTGCTGTTTGTTATTTAGTGAGCAACAATCATATACAATTTATCATATTTTTTAAATAGAAAATACAAATAAAATCACAATTTTTTTGAACTTTAAACTTTCTATATTTTTAGTGCAATTCAGTTGTTATGAAACCGCAATCAATGGTATTGTCAACAAATCAGTAAAAATGACATTACATTCCCCACATACCACATTCCATAAATAATAACATAAAGCTCCAGTTTCGGTCCAATGAGGCAGTAAAGGTTTTAATTCGTTATATTTTTGTATTCACTTTTTTCACTTCTGTTGTTTTCCAGCGAAAATTCGCCAGCTACATGAAAAACGCATAAGCCCAGATCCCGATGTTGCTGCCTTTCTGGGACCCCCTCCTGCGCCGTGCGACCCCAAGACCCTTTATTCCTGCTGTCGCTGTCGTCCCGCTCGAGCAGCTTATTCTTCTTCGTCGCCGTTGTTATTGTTATTCCTGCCGGCCATTCCGTTGTATTTACTAAGAGGAAGCGAGAGGGCACAGCGGCGTCCGAGCGACGACACCAATATGCATTTATACGAGGCATCGGTTGCAGATGCGAAAACATCAGCAAACAGAAACAGAAACGGAAAAAGAAACAGCTAAAGGAAAGGGGAGTAGGAAGGGTTTTTATAAGGGGGTCTTCTTTTTTAAGGAGGCTTTATAAAAATCTATTTGGGCGGAACATGGGCAGCCTCAGCTCAGCATGACTCAGCTGCTTGAGTTGCTGCTTTAATTCTCAACTGGTTCAAGCTTCAAATTAATAAAAAATACATATGTCTATCATCTAAAACTATTATTAATCAAAGCCTTTTTCAAGTCTTAAGAAAAATGAAATGACTAAGAACTAGTTTTACACAAACTAGCTTATAAAAACCTTAGATAAAGGGGTGTTAAACCCCCTTATCCCCCATTAAATACGCCACTGGCCACAGAAGCACTGAAAAAATAAAACAGAAAGCAAAACAAAAGCAGAAAGAGAAACAGATCTCGCAAAAAAGAGCGAAAAACACAATGCGAATGTTCAGCGGGGTGTACACAGTGCGATGAAGGGTTCAAGGGGGAGGAAGGGGAGTGGTATTGCCGTGGTGTCTACGGAGTTCTATAAGCCGCGCTTTATAACTCATATGGACTTGTTATGTGCCATGTTATCGTCTTGTTGTTGTATGCATTTGTCCTGCTTCTTAACTCGTTTTCTGTTGCCCTTTTTTGGCTTTTTAATATGGATGTTCCAGCGAGGGTATTAATAGGATCTGATGGTTAATGGGATAACTTAGCCTGACTAATATACATTAATATAGAAATTATAAAGTTTAGATAGTAAAATAAACTAAAATTAAATGATGTATAGTTGAAGGAATTTATGGATCATGTTTTGAGATACCTGAATATCTGCCAACAAATTAATTAAGCCTTAAACAGATTCCCTGTAATCAGTGAACACAACCATATATACCATACACTTTATTGAACCTTAATTGGGTTCGATAATTACTACCTTCTCTTCTCCTTCTCCCTCTTCGTCTCCTTGCTAAACATCGATCAACGGCAATCTATTGATGGATTGATCACCTCATCGTATAACAGGGCAATGTCCAGTCCATCTATGGATCGGTCACGCCTCCTCTCCGAGAAGTGGGCGGCGGAGAGGAGCAGGAGAACTCGGAGCAGACAGGGAAAAATGCTGTTAAACAAGTTTCGGGTTTTTCAGTTCTCATATATATATTTTTTTTCCTTTTGGCCCGCAGCCTGACGAGTGCGTGCCTTATGCCAGCCATGGGCATGAGAATTGGTTTTAACGTTTTCTCCTCCTTTTTTGCCCACGTTTTTACCAGTTTACTTTTTTTCCTCTTGCTGTTTTGCAATCCTGTCTGGGAGTTAACAAACTACGGAGGCACTTAATAAGCAAAGTGTTTGCCCTGCATCCGTGGCAGAAACCCGTATACACATACATTACAGAACTCGCTGGTCAAACTTGTACTCCTCTGCCTTATCGATATTACTAAATTAAAACTCTCAAGCCAGGTACATAAACAGAGTGGAGAGAGAGATACAAACTTGTCATCAGCATAAGGAGGTGGCAAAAGTTTTCCGCCCAAATTCAATTTGAGACGCGACAACAGCAGCAAGCAAAACAAAGAAGCTGCCCCAAAGCGCCCGGAAAAGTCGAACTCAAATCTGGTGGGAAGAATGAACTGCTACCGTAGCTGCTGCTTTCCCCCAGCCATACGATTCCCAGCCGTCATCCTTGCCAGAGATGAGGTTCCTGCTTTGCTGGGCAAAGTTTTATGGCATTCATCGCCTCCATCCCTTTTCGCCCTCGTGCGTTTATAAATTACGTTACGTATACGCAACGTGGGCGAGAGCACATAAAGTATTCGCGTTATGAATATAGAAAGAAGTAAACGCAGTAAATTAGGCGAAAAATTCAATAATTTTGCCAACCAAATGGGACCAGCAAACACGGAGGGGACCGACCGTCAACGAGCAAACACTCGTGCTTGGAGGTTTGTGGCCCTTGTCGAGTGGCAAAACTCAGGAGTGTAAACATTCTGGAGAGTCCCGATAGCTGCCACATTATGTAATGGGAAAAACATTAAGAAGGTACATTAAGAGTCTAATCGATGTGGAGATGGTTTCGTTTAAGGAAGGAACTTACTGAATTGAAGGGATTTTTCAAAGGGATTTTTGAATATTCTAATAAGTGACTACTTAACATTTAATTTATATTTTGTTAAGTATTTTTAAAGATGGAAATCCTCAAAAATAAACCCAAAATCCCATTCAGTAATCAATTATAACTTAAGTCTCTTTCCTATAAATTATTTGCTCTGAACACGCTTAATCTTTGTCAAAAAGTTCCTGCAGATACAAAAATCAAAGCGTAATCTCACGCCAAGTTGCCGCAACTTTTGGCCTCCTGCCAACCGTAATTGGTCTGGCTATCACGAAAGTGGCCAAAGGGCAACACCCAAAACTAAATTACACAATTAATAAGCGCAACCAACAAACCAGAGCAGCAACAAACCGAGACAAGCAAGCCGCAGCACATAATAACCGCAACATTTAAGGCGAAAATCTGCAATTAAGGAGCAGCGTTGGCCCCCAAAAAAGGAGAACGAATGGAAGGAGCACTCCCTCGTCCGTGGGAAACTAACCGAATCCCGATCCCAACTCCCTGCCGAAAAGTCGACTCAAAAATTAATCAGGCGAACATAATGCAGGCGAGAGCCAGATGAGGCGGCGGAATGCGATAAAGGCGAAAGGCGAATCTTCAATGTATTGCCCGGCACATATATAGATAATGAAATACGAGGCTCCCGCAAGACCAAAAAACCCAGCCACAGCCAAACGGACCACTATACTACTCCCTGGTCCCGGGGTAAAGTTGTTCCTTTCACGCCCCTGCACGTCTTCGTCCTGGCCCGAGGGCAGACAGGCCAAAATAATGGAGCCAATGGCCATGGCCAGAACAACAGCAACAGCAACCCAAAATGGTTAACAAAGCAAAACATAAACAACATTTTCAGCGAATTCGTAATGCCCTAAAGGTATAAAAAAACAAATAGAAAGTGGAAGGGAACATAAATCATAGGATTTTTGTTTTAGGTAATAATAACTTTTTAATATACTTGTTTTATATCGATAATTTGTAGATTTATGTCTTAACAAATTACGAAAGGTAATAAAACAGTATCAAAAATACAACCTAAAATAATCTTCACAATGTTTACTTCAGATCAAAAAAGGTTATGAATCCATCAAATAATTATCAAAATAATTTTTAAATGTACCTATTTTTTTAATTAATTAAATATTTAATTTAGATTCCACACACAAATTCAATCAACTGCTTTCAGTTCAATATAACTTTCTGCAAAATATGTCAATATGAACTGGATTCTAAGAATCAACTCAAGAAGCTCTCTCTTTTCGCCAAAGTCCTTGTCCAGTAGATTCACTTCCTCTTGGCCAAATAGTTCAAGTGCCGCTTGGCGAAAGAGTAGCCGCAAACAAATAAAGTAACCAAGAGACCACGAAGACAAGGACGACAAGGAAAAAGCTCATAACCCAGGTCCTGGCGCTTGGCATTTTTGGCCAGCAGCTGCCAGACAATGCCACGCCCCCACCTAAGCACATATGTGGCTGAAAGGGGTGGCAGTGCAATGGCACAGCCTTGGGGGTCGACAAGGGCGAACAAGATATGGCCATAGACAAGAGCTCAACTTTCTTATCAATGTGGGAGGGAAAACTGGGAGGAAAACCTTGGAGCACAACCTGGAAGGAGCATTGGAGTTTCCCTAGTCTCGTTTGTTTTTCCCAGCGCATGAAATTGCAAACATTTTCTGCGAGTCATCTGAAAAGTGGAAAGTGAGCAAAAATAAAATAAAAATAATATTAAAAGGAAATTCCTTTGCTCCTTAGCCAATACTCATTAGATTTGTGCAAATACTTTACTGGCACCCCTCTCCCGTTCACCCATTTCGCTCCACTAATGATGCCTGCCTCCCTTCCTCTTTTAGGAAAGTAATTTCGCTGCTTACGCAATTTTTCATTTCGCGCTCGCTGCGCAAATAAATCAGAAAATGTTCAATTTTTTTTTTAACAAGCCACCACCACCCAACATTTTGCCATTGACTTTTGGCTTGTTTTCCCCCCTGACGAGGTGGTGGCCACTAGTGGCGTGACCTGCAATGTTAAGGCAAATAAATCGTTCAAGTTTTCGGTTCGGTTTCCATTCCATTCCAATTGAATGTAATCAATGCTGAGCACTTCACATCTCAAATATGTTTGCCATTACCCCGACCAGCTACATTTATTTGAGGGGAGTTCCCGGAGG